TATATATATATATATATATATATATATATATATATATATATATATATATATATATATATATATATATATATATATATATATATATACAATACTACTAATACACTATATTGCCAATATTTCAATTGAATATTTTATATTTTATGAAGTCTCAAGAGATTGAGGCAACTATGCATATTTTTTACTTCTGCTTTTTAACAGACAATAAAAAATTTACAAATATATATCTATAAAGATATTTTCTATATTTTTTGAAACATTCACTCTAATTTCCTCAATATTTCCCCTTAGTTTAGCATTTAACTATCAGAATATATTTAAAGCATTTCTTTGACGTTGTCTTTTAAATTGTTTAAACTGTATACACAAATGGAGCTTTTATAAACTTATGTGAAGCTCTCTCTTTCTCTCTCTATTTAGCCTATTACGGCATTTGTTTTCTCATTTGCAAACGCTGACATGATAACGTGAGAAAGCTTGCCCGACTATTCACTTTATAAGATTGACTATTCGAATAAGCATCCATGAAGGACATGTGTCCCGCCGGAAAAAGCGCATAAATACTAGTATACGAAATACTTTCTCGGTAAACGCACCGAAAGATGTGTATCCCGTGGATCACTGGTTACGATCCTCGAAAATTTATATCGACTTATGTCGATGATACTAAGCGAAAGACAGAGACCCAGGCCGAGTATCTAGAATGCCGATTTGATCCCCCTAACTGCGTGCTCGAGCTCGATTTATTACTGAGCCCGGGCCGCTTCTGGGGACGTATTATCGATAAGGCAAGGAGACCTGCCGGCCTAAGGTCCTCGAAAATGTGCGTATTATTCCGTAGGCCCTACTCGTCGATCTTATTCGCTTCTTTTGCTGTTTTCCATCCAATATTGCGTGTCACGAATAGGTCATTCCAATCTCAGTGAAAACAATCGTTGCTGATCAGACCTAGCAATTTCAGCGTCAAAGAATATATACGCGAATATATATATACTATAAAAGTACTATATATAATTAATATAATACTTATATTACACTTACTTATATAATACTTATATTACACAAAAGATACTATATATAACTTATATATAACTATACTATAATGTAGTACAATATGGTATTACATACATATACTTGCTCAGTAAATATATTTAATATAAATATATATTGTATATAAAATAAAAATCTATCTCGGCAAAAATTTCACGCGATAAATCTTATACATTTGGAATGCTTGCTGATATAGAAAAATTGCCGCGATTGACTTTTGTTCGCAGAATAACGCCATTTATGAAAATTATTCTTCAAATTACCTCAAATAAGCCCCGAGAAATTACTATACTTTTTTGTTCTTCAACATTTTTTCCACGTAGAAAAAAATATGGCTATATTAATAAAATGTTTAATGAAATATAAGCGAGAGTCAGAATTCTGACTGAAATTATCAGAATTCTGTTCAAATTAACAAGATTCTGGTTAACCAAACAAGAATTCTGGTTAATCAGAACTTGCAATTGTTTCAGCTAAACAATTGCAAGTTTTGATTAGCTAGAATCTTATTAACTTAAACAGAATTCTCGTAATTTCAACCGGAATTCTGGTTCGTTCATATTTCAGACATTTGGTTAATTCAAACAAATTCTTTTTCCCATATATACTTTATGTGTCGACTAGCGGAATTCTATGTAATCTATGTGATAAAAACTGCGATAATACAGGTAAATATACATAAGTAAGAGTACATATATACATCTACCATTTCAATTAAACATTGGCTGAATCTAAGATTGAATCTTGTTTGAACAGCTGGCGTCGAAGAGAGATAACCGACGAATAAGCATCAGACTTCGCGATTCGCAGACAGACAGACAGGTAAGCAGGCTGGCAGGAAGGCAGGCAGGCAGGCAGGCAGGCAGGCAGGCAGGCAGGCAGGCAGGCAGGCAGGCAGGCAGGCAGGCAGGCAGGTAGGAGAGATTTGATTCCCGGAAACGACGAGACGAATTAATCGGCCAGGAATGTTAGGGAAGAAGGGAAGAGGAGATATTCGCAACGCCGCGGTGGCCGATAAATTTGCTGGAAGTTTAATTTCATTTTATAGGCGCGATACTTTAGCGAAAGCACCTGCACTTTACACTAACGGCGCTGCGCTGTCGTGAGCGGGGCGATGCGATAGCCCGCGCTACAACGTCGAGCTAGGAATTATACATTATACCGTCCTAAATCATGGCTCAAGCGCAACCTCATGTAATTATATCGTCGTTTTTAGAGCCCACCCTTAATACGCCGTTTATGTGGCTCGTGAGTCTTACCGACGTTTCGCGTTATCCTCCTTCCTTTCTTGCCGTTCCGCACGCACGACGGCCCCGTCGCCTGCTCGAAGCGCGAGAGGAACGTTACCGAAGGGATGATCCCTCGGTAATCTGCGTCATTCTGTCGTAACTGTCGCACCTGTGAGCTCTCTCGTGGTTAACGTACTTAAGAGATCACATGCCATTGTGACTCCTCAAGTCGTAGACCGCCGATTGTTTAGATGGTAGTCGCGCAGCCGAGTGGTAGGAAAGCAAAGCTTACTGCCACACAAACGGCATAATGTAATATTAATCGATGTATTGGTGCGCGCTCGTGCAAGTCGGAGGGTAGCTCCGCCGCGGCCAGATTGCCAACCGACGAAGACAATGAGTGGCGAGGGGGAGTGGCGAGGCGCTGATCAAACACTTGATTAAAGAAAGTTTCCGATAGCTATTCCGCGAGAGAAAACCGACGTCGGCCGTGGTGATTGGGTAAGGTGAGGTACCAGGAATTTCCACGTTTCCCCACCCACAGTTTCTCACACTCCCGACTTCTTCCCTTGCCCAACCACCCCTTGCACCGCCGACGCGGCCGTCCTTTTTGCCTTCATCCCTAAACTTGAAAGTTTTTCGAAGCGAGCCGGAAGTCTACCCGACTGTTTTCCCTTCTTCGCCGAACGTTCGTTTCTACGACAGAAATTTCGCCCCAATCTCCGCGCCGACGCGGCAGGTTTAATGAAATTAATCTACGGTTTCGGGGGACGCCTTGTTTGCCTCGCTTGTTACACCTCTTAAGCTAAACAGAACGGCCGATTTGTGCCGAATGCCGCGCGATTGCGGCTACATTTCTTGCGCCAGACACGACTTTTGCAGGCCGCTTTCGTCTATTAAACGGAACTCCATATCCAATTTAGCAACTTCCTGCGTTCGACGATTTAATTTCTCAAAAACTAGAATTTAATTATGTTACACGATAAGAAATATTATGTATAAGAAATATTTTGTATTTGTGTTGAAATGGGTCTATACAGAAATTTTTGTATTAAATTTGTAATATACTTATGTGTTCATGTAACGTATTGCCGTTGTGTTATTTCAACTATTCTGCTTTGAGATCATATTTTCTATTTCTAAGTGTTAAAATAACAATTTTGATGTAATATTGCTGGTGACACATTTTACATGTAAAGTGTGCAGATAAATTGTATTATTTGTTAACATAATTGTGTTATTTGTTAACATAATTGCCATAATTAAATTAATACAGGAATTAGAGTAAATGTATGAAATATATTAATCCTTTAAGACCAATGTACATAATAATGTACATTTACTTTGTATTTTCCTTAAATTTTTTATATCAGTCAAATAATGATTTCATCAATATAATACTCGATGATTACATCAATATAATAATCGATTTATCGTAGATAGAGCTGTATCCTTCACTTCAATCCGTAAAACAACGATTTTCTCACTGAAGAAACTAATATAGCGGTGTGCATAGTAGAATCACTGACGTTCAAAATTGTGTAAAGTTTTTCACGAAAGAAAGTAATCAAATTTTGATTTTTCAATTTTTTATCGATATCATCTCAAAATACAAGACTGTCGCTTTTGTGTTCATTATCATAGTTACAAAATTTATTACATACTGTAGCTGGGGCATACGTACAAACATAAACGTACATAATGTTTGACTTACATAAAGGTTAGTATAACGGGTTGCCTATCTATTTCGCAGGTAAGCGTACGTAGTTATATGCAGCCTCAGTAGGCTTTGGCGAAATGCTCACTTGCGCGCTTTCTTTACTGCGAGGTTTACGTTTTAAGTTCCAATTTCTACTGCGATCACGCACGACTACGCGCGCCTGCCAGTGAAACGCATAAATAACCCGTACTGACCTGTATGTAAGGGAGAACGAAACTATATGATCTTAGGAGTAAATTGTTCATGTGATTTTCTTCAGTACTTATCTTGAAAGGAATGGTGGATACAAAATCGCGAAATGGTTCTTGTAGAACATAATTTTCTTTCTTTGAGTTCCATTAAAATCAGAATAATATTACGGTTAAGAAATAGAAAACATTCATTTGGTTATAGCAAAGTAAATTTTCGAGCTTATCGAAATTTTGTGTTAATATTCTCCATCATGACTGAATAAAATTACACGACGTGTTATTAACTAGACTGAAATTTCTTGCAAGTGTATGATATACTGTTTCTGGTAATAAATACAATTTTCATTCATAAAGGGATTGAAATAAAGCATATGAGCGGACGAGGTAAAGTTGGCCCATGATTAAAAGCTGGCAGGAGGGCTGAAACCTCTCAAGAAGATTCTGGAACTACTAATACATATCAGGATACATATTTTTTACAGTGGCCTTCTTTATCTTGTGCTATTGGGCAACTGAACCCGGTACCAAAGCGAGATGGCTGTGTTGCTGCATGTTGGTACTTTGGTTATTAATTACATTGGTTATTAATTACTTCGGTTATTAATTATATTGGTTATTATATCAATTATAACGTTTATACAAAATATATAGTTAACAAGATCGTGACGGGCATTAATGTATAGAAAAAGTTTATCAGATTTATACAGCTAGTCACAACAATTAGT